GTCCTGTCAACCTGGACTAGGTATGTTCTGACAGAAGTGAAATTAGACTAGCTCCACATCTGAGGATAAATCACTAGGATATATGCCAATCATATGCATTCTGTTCATGATCGGAGGTTTCAGTCTTTTATCTACTTTTTTTCAATCTATGAACCCTATACCATTTAAGAAAAATCTCATAATCAAATGTGCAATAGAATTCATATATAATAATAGCTAATCAACTGAAGCATGGGTTTCATATATAATAATGTCTTAATTAAATGTATATCCAAACCTGAAAGTTGTATTATGCCTATAGACTGAAATTTATCCTATGTGGAAACAATTAGGTATGTTCAGACTGGCTCTATTTGCCTGTCTGTTTACAATAAATACATCAACAATTAATGCACTGATGTCAGGATGAATACACATGCTGTCCATTATAGTTTTGTTCATCAATTTTGTTGGCAATTCTCTAAATGAGTCAACACCTTCATCAAAAAACTTATTCAACAATCTAAGTTGTTCTGAAGGGCACAGCTCATGGAGAAGATTGATGGGTGGCCCCACACCACAACACCCCTCGGAAAACATTGTTTTCACTTTAATGTGCATGGCAAGACTCAGGAGCATCTAGAAGATTTATACTATTTGTGGCAATTTCTGTAATCTTTTTCCTTTTGTTATTTGTAGTTGCAGATTATTTTAGTTCTCTACAAAAATATCAGTTTCAATTTGCCCTAGCTTAGTGCTGCCACAGATTAAAGATTAACCATTTTGTTTGCACATTAATGGCTCCAGAAGTACTTGGCCATCAAGAAGTCAATTACTAGCCCAACGTGATCTTGTTCACACCACTCCATGAATTTTCAGAAACAAATTATTTAATTTTTATTACTATTATCAATGCTAACAAATTTACAATAACAATAATGAAAATAATAATGATATTAAAAGGTAATAACAATATTCAATTTATTTAAAAATCACAAAACTTCAAGGAAGGGGATACACAGGTCAGATCAGGTAGGCCTAGTAAATGATTCCATGATGACTAAACCACAGTGGATAGTGTATGTATTCAGTATTAATAAGATAATGAGAATAGAGGCTCTTTGGAATATGTTTATGGCTTATGGAGTGCTACATGAATATATTACAGAATACAAATAAGACTAATGAAATGTCACAGGTAAAAGTAGTGCAGAATCAATGAGAATCACTGAACTATGTCCTGTTTTATACAAACTAATTAATCCTATATATATCACTATAATTATCAAAGTGACCTTCCCTACCTGGTAAAACAGAATATGAGGTTTTTTATCAATATGTTTAGCATTACATAAAATCGTAACCAGGTAGATTTTATTGAGACAAAAGCCCACATTTATATTCTGACAAGGTAGTGCTTGTAGACAACGCTGTCAATTTAGTATCATATACAAAATGAGTCTAAGCTTGATCCTGATTACACCAGAAAACTCATACCATGGCAACCGCTTGAGGTTCGGCACTTGTCCCAGCAACTTTTACTGATGGCAAAGCACTCAGAACAGGCCCATGTGAAAATGCAGAAAAAAAGTAGAAAATCACTATGCTCAAGCTATTTGGTATAAAAAATAATCTGAACACCATAATTACTGATCAAAGTTTCCAAATAAGCGCTGATGTGACTAAGTTACGCAAGGCCATGGCACCTACACTTTGCAACAAACTTCTCCAATGCATAGTCTGGCAAGATACGAGCTTGTTGATCTGGCAATTCCCAGACAGCAAATGAATCCCACATTCTCTCTCTCCTGCCAGAATACATGCATCGGTAGTATGTTCAGCTCTACCAATGTACGAGGAACAGCAGCCATGGCATCGACTCAACTGATAAGCACTTATTCGAAACTACTCCAAAATGCCTCCCTCTTTATTACACAGAGCATATATACAAACTGTTTAAAGAAATATATATAATATGTATACTATAATCGTCTACACTCAATATATTTTACAACTCTGTATATAGTTTAAATATGAGAAATAGATGATACAATTATCTCCATAATCACACTTGGTAAAAAAAATAACATTAAATATCTATCTACCAACTTCACAATTTAGGACAGATTGGAGACCTCATATATAAATCCTCATGACATCCTAGCATTTCCTTCACAACAAATGGACAGTGTTCAGCTCCTCGGTTTCCACCACACTCTCCTCCCTGGAAATGACATGCTTAGATGACCAGTCAAAAACGTCACCTGAGATCTGACCCTATTACCTTTGCCCAGGGAACACCTGTCACATTGCCTTACCCATCTCAGGGATCGTTTCCGTGGCAGAGGCAGTGACAGGTGACCTTAATAACCCACCTGTGCCCACCTGTGCCCACATGTCACTGCTCTGTGGCACTGACCTGACTGGTACTGTCAGGCTGGCTATCATTCTTTTTTTAAACATACCTCTCGACTCTCACTTAATTCCACCACTCAGACAAGAAAGATCCATGTCTACGTAC